AGCAGAGGTACACAGCACTGCTCAGAATCCCAGGAGCCAGGCAGTGCTCAGAGCCCATGACTGGCCTGGGACAGGCTTGGCTTGGTGCTGAGTGAGTCCCGGAGCCAGGAGCTAGAGCTACTGAGTTCCGCTGGCCTCATTAGGACTAGTTCTGGACACCACAGCCAGGCGAGCCGGTCCAGCGGCCCTAGTCGTTGTGGGAGAGGCACGCTGCGGAGACGGGAAGGTCCTTGACCTGGCTTTCACAGTGGAAGCAGTCCCATATGATAACAGGACAGCCACGTAAGAGTGGCTGCAGGAATGAGTTAATATTTCACACCAGAACTTACCTGAGGACTCGCAAAGATGAATGAGCAAAGGCCAAGTGCTACTGAAACGCTCGCTGTGAAGCTGGCCCCATGTTACCTGTGAACTACTGTTCCTACATGGAGGCAGTTTCACCATAGAAAAATTTAGCTCCAGTGATGGCTCTGCCCCTCCCCCTGCCCCCTGCCACCCTCTTACCAGGAGTCACTATGAGAGGCCCCTCAAGAATACTAATTGGGTAGAAGAAAATCAAAGACAGTGGTCTGTTTCCTCCTCCTATGAAAAGTGAGTCAGTCTATGATTTTATGCTGGCAAAACACCTTGGATTCCACATGGCACCCTCCATAACCCTGGCGTTGTGGCAATAGCTGTTTGCCACTGAGTCAGAGGCCTCCCTGGTTTGTCTTGCCACATCTGCACAAATAATGACCTCTCAGTTCACTCCTCCAACCTGCTGCTGGAGAGAATGGCTTCCTTAGGACCGTACCTGTAGGAGCTCTGATCTGTCATCATCATCTGGGGGACTCAGGAGCCGGCTGCATGAGTCAGCCAGTCCTCTACTCCTGCAATTATCCACGGAACACATAGCCCTGTCACCTGGCAAGCAGGCCCTCTTTCCCACCCCATCTTCCCCAACCTGGGTACCCAGTGGAAGACTTACACCCTCCCAGTGGGCACCTTAGCTCTCCAGGCACCCTCCTCCACCTGGGCACACTGATAGAGGATGTTTCTTTTCATCAGAATGACTTCTTCTTTTACCCAACTCCAGTAGCACTTCAGGATCATCCTTAGCCTGTCTTGTAAACATTATTGATTATGCATCTGTCTCCACTACAACCTCGTGAGCTCTGGGAAAGCAGGGACCGTATATACCTTGTTCATCCTTTTGTCCTTCACCGTGCTTGGCCAAAAATAGATTCTGCATCTCTGTTGCTCACAATGGACAAAACTGTTCATGTTAGTGAATGTTGATAACATGTACATAATGTACATAGCAGAAAGATGTTCTCGTATCTCTTAAATAGTGAAAGTCGGGAAGTGGCTTAAGGTGAAAATCTTCCTTGGAGCCATTAGTCTGATCTATAAAGCTAATAATAATACTAGCTACAGTTTATCAAGTGCCTACCATGTAGGCTTTGTTCTACATGTTTTAATTACATTATCTCATTTAATCCTCAATCCTGTACTGCATGGTTATCTCCACCAAAGGAAAACAGGTTCAGAGAGAGGCTAGGGAATTTTTCTCATTTCACCAGTTAATAAGTGGTAGATTCAGGGTTCAGACTCCTAAGTCTGTTTTTCATTGTTATGCCGGGTTATTCACTGAGGGCAGCCTTCTCACCAGCTGGTAGGAAAATCAGGTATTAGCGCTTGCAGCAATGTCAGAAAAGCCTTCCCTAACCTGTCTCTCTCATGGCTAAAGTGGCCGCTAGGTGAGAAAGAGTTGGCAGCCCCACTGGCATTCGCTAATGTAGCGGGCAGAGGACCTTCCAGAGCGCCACAGTGTAGCTTCAGTAAGGTAGCCGAGGGTAACTTTGTGAATGTAAAAAGGATAAAAGACTGGGTGCTGGTTTTAGCAAACCCCACTATAAATATGCTGATAAAATGAGTAGTGATAGCCCACTTACACTTCTGATCAGCAGTGTGGTTTTCTGATTCATGTGTTATCCATTGAATCTTCACTAATAGTTTATTTAACTGAGGGCTGCTGTCATTGATAGAGGTTGGCACATTTTAACCCTGTGAGTAAAATGTAGTAGCTAAAATTTACTGAGCACCAGGTACTTTGAGTTGATGCATTAATTTAATGCAACAAACCTCTGAGGTAGATTATTATCATCTCCATTTTACAGAGAAGAAAACTAAAGCTTAGAGAAGTTGCCCAAAATCACACAGTTAGTGTCAAAGCTGGGGTTCAAACCTAAGGATTCAAACCTGAGAGTTTATACTTCTACTTTCTCCAATTCCTAAGAATACTTGCTGTCTTATTCATCATCTTAATTTACTATGGATCTCTGGGGACAGCAGGCATCAGTTAAATAAAACATTACATTGTACTGGGTTTGTGTTTTCTTTCCCACTCGATTTGATGATAGAATAGCTATGACACGTGATATGTTACATGTTACCTCATTAAGCAGTTATACCGATAATACCGTGAAATTTTTATGTTTGAAATTGCTGTAGCACTTTATCCAATAGTAAAGCATTATTGCTCTAGAGTCATAGAGACCTGAGTTTGATTCCTAGCTCTTCACTTTTCTATGAAATGGGTGTAATAATTATGCTAAACTCTTAAGGTAGTTACAAGAATTAAGCAAGATTATAATATACAAAAAAAAAAAAACCTTAGCATGGACCCCAGTATCAGGGAGCCCTCAGTTGATGTTGGTATTGTTTGTCTTATCACTTTGCTCGATCTGTTAGAGGAAAATGCATATCAGGAGACAGATTAAACAATCGCTGGCAGATTAAACAATCTCTCACAATTATCCACTGGAAATGATATTCCTATTCTTTACAGCACTCTTTGCTGAATTATGATCAGTTTTCTAGTCTTTGAAAAAGGACAGATGAGTAATGAACAGATAAGTTATGAAATTTACTCTTCCGGTAAGAATCCCCATTGTTGGGAAGTATGATCTGTGCCTTGGGAAGGTGATGGATGAAAAATTGTGATGATTCCCCCCAGACAAGGGAGGTCTAGAGCAGCAACTTCAAGTTCAGTGGGAATACCTAGACTGCAGGCAACTTCCTGGGGAATCCTGGAGGAATATGACAGAGAAGTCACTGTGGTTCTAAGACATGTTCAGTGGAAGCAACTGCCTTTCAGGTTGTTGTGGGAAGGACATTTTGTACCTGTCTTTGCCCCTTGAAAGCTGAGGAGGCACGGGAGGTTGGTTGTCTGCTGGCTGTGTGGCCCTGGCTATTTCATCTTGGAAATCTAGGGAAGTCTTGTATGAACAAGCTTAATGCTTCACAATTTCAGTTTTCTTGGTGTCTTACAGACACCAATTTTTCCATCTTAGGGATGCTGTGGTAACAGAGGTTCGACCAAGCTGTTCTCAGCAGTCTGGAGCAGACCCAGAAAAGGCAGGTTCATATTGGTCCTGTGCTGGTGGAACATTAAGAAAAATAACTGTGCTTCATAAGAAAACCGCAGATATGGCTGGGTATGGCGGCTCACACCTGTAATCCCAGCACTTTGGGAGCCGAGGCAGGCAGATCACCTGAGGTCGGGAGTTTGAGACCAGCCTGACCAACACAGAGAAACCCAGTCTCTACTAAAAATACAAAATTAGCCAGGTGTGGTGGCGCATGCCTGTAATCCCAGATACTTTGGAGGCTGAGGCAGAAGAAGCATTTGAATCCAGGAGGCAGAGGTTGCAGTGAGCTGAGATCACGCCATTGCATTCCAGCCTGGGCAACAAAAGCGAAACTCCATCAAGAAAAACAGAGAAGAAACGAAAGAAAGGGGAAGGAGGGGAAGGAAGGAAAGAAAGCAAAGGAAGCAAAGGAAGCAAAGGAAGCAAAGGAAGCCCTGCATATACTGACAACATAATGGTTGGGGAGGAGGGAAAGTATGCATCGTAAATGGGGAAAAAAGCCAGAGTGTAAAATAATTTCTACACTTTGGTACCAATTCTACTTTGAAAATTAAACACTATACACGTATTCATATTGATAAGGGGAAGACAGGAAAGAACACACTTGAACGGCATGGATTATTTTTGGATGGTAGAATTACAAGTGCCTTTATCGTCTTAACTCTTGTATGTGTATATGTACATATCAACTCATATACATACACATATATGAGTTAATGTATGCATTTAAACACACACACACACACACACACACACACACACATATATATATATATAACTTTTTAAGAGATAGGAACTCCCTGTCACCCAGGCTGGGGTGCACTGGCACAGTTACAGCTCACTGTGGCTTGGAACTCCTGGGCTCCAGTAGTCCTCCCGCCTGAGCCTCCTGAGTAGCTAGGACTACAGATGCCTGCGGCCTTGCCCAGCTAATTTTTTAATGTTTTTGGTAGAAATGGGATCTGGCTGTGTTTCCCAGGCTTGTCTCAAACTCCTTGCCTCCAGTGGTGCTCCTGACTCAGCCTCCCAGAATGCTGGGATTATAGGCATGAGCCACAACACCCAGCTGCTTTTTTATGTTTCGCAATGTTGAACAATGAAACATTAGAAACTCAGAAAATCAAAATTTGTGATAATTAGGGGAAGATGTGACTTGGAGTCATGTCCATGTGGAGTAATGAGAAGCTCACCATACAGAACAATGCCTATGGTATGCTACAATTAGCGTAACGAAGGGGGAAAACAATTTACATGACTCGCTGGTGTGTGTATAAAATATCCCTGGAAGTTCTAAGTTTTATGCCTTTTTTAAAAATCTAGTACCTATGAGCCAGATGTGGTGGCTCACACCTGTAATCCTGGAACTTTGAGAGGCTGAGGCAGGCGGATCACCTGAGGTCAGGAGTTCAAGATCAGCCTGGCCAACAAGCTGAAACCCCGTCTCTACTAAAAATACAAAAAGTAGTCGGGCGTGGTGGTGGACACCTATAATCAGGAGAATCACTTGAACCCAGGAGGCAGAGGTTACAGTGAGCTCAGATCACACCCCTGCACTCCGGCCTGGGCAACAAAGAGAGACTCTGTCTGAAAAAAAACAAAAAACAAAAAACCTAGTACCTATGTAAAAAGTTATATTTTTAAAATATGATATGTATATATCTTTTTCTGTTTATGCCAGGAATTCCTGAAAACTGTCAGAAGGTGCATGGTTGTAAGTGAACCGTATGCACTGCTGTGTTTACCATTTCAAACACACACAGTCTGATCTACAGTAGGCCGAGTGTCTGCAAGGCACCACCCACCAGGTGGGGTGATGCTGTTTCCCTAAAGGTCCACATGTCAAATGCACATCCTCATTCAGTCACTACCAGCACCACAAAAAGTTTTAATGTGACCCATCAAGTTTGCATTTTTGCCCTGGCTTACAAGGAGCCTAGAGCTATGTTTTGTCTTTAGCTAGGCTTTCTAGTACAGCCAGACTCCTCCCTATACCTACCCTATTTATTATTTCTCTATCTTCTTTCAAATCCTGTTCTAATAGCTTTTCATTTAGTTATAGCTATGACTTTACCTATATGCAGTTTCAAAACTGTTTCAGAAGGCAATAGGACATACGTTAGTTATCCATTGCTATGTTACAAATCACTCTAAAACGTAGAAATTTAAAACAACAATATACATTTAATATATCTCACAGTTTTAGGGAGTGAGAAATTCAGGAACGTTCTGGCTTGGAGTCTTTCAAGAGGTTGCAGTTAAGACATCAGCCAGAGCCACAGCCATTTGCAAGCTTAACTGGGGCTGGAGGGTCTTCTTCCCAGATGGTTGGCGAGTTGGTACCAGCTGTTTTTGGGACTTTAGATGCTCCCCGTATGGGCCTCGCCACAGGCAGCTTGAGTGTCTTTGTGACAGCGCAGCCCCTGCAGCAGACAATCCAAGGGAGAAAGAAGCAGAAATCACAGTGACACGCACCTGCAGTTCAGCCACATTCTAATCCAGGCATCCCCAAACTTTTTACACAGGGGGCCAGTTCACTGTCCCTCAGGCCGTTGGAGGGCCGCCACATACTGTGCTCCTCACTGACCACCAATGAAAGAGGTGCCCCTTCCTGAAGTGCGGCGGGGGACCAGATAAATGGCCTCAGGGGGCCGCGTGCGGCCCTCGGGCTGTTTGGGGACGCCTGTAATCTAATCATTAGAAGCAAGTCACTAAGTTCAACTGAATCCAAGGGGAGTGATATTGGTTTCTACCTTTTGAAGAAAGGAGTGTCAAAAAATTGGTGAACATACTTTAAAAGCATCATAGGTTATAATAATTAGTCAATATCAGATAAATGGAAAATGATGGGAAGGTGCTTTGAGAAGGAGGGAACAATGGCTGAGTACCTTCTATGTCCTAGACTCTGTACTTCAACACATTATTGTGTTTAATTTTCTTTTTTTTTTTTTATAGGGTCTCTTGCCCAGGTTTGAGTGCAGTGGTACGATCTCAGCTCACTACAACCTCTGCCTCCTGGGTTCAAGCGATTATCATGCCTCAGCCTCCTGAGTAGCTGGGACTACAGGCGCATGCCACCACTCCCAGCTAATTTTTGTATTTTTAGTAAAGTCAGGGTTTCATCCTGCCGCCCAGGCTGGTCTCGAACTCCTGACCTCAAGCGATCTGCCCACCTTGGCTTCCCAAAGTGCTGGAATTAAGTGGTAAGCCACCACGCCTTAATTCTGTTTTACAGATGAGGAAAGTGAGACTGCAGAGATAGAGCTTGTCTGCGGTCCCATCGCTAGTGTCAGAGTATGTCAAGCACACAGCCTGAACCCACAGCTGGGTCATCACCTACCTCAGAGGAAAATGGAAAGCATGCCCAAGGATTTGCTACCTTGACTTATCTAAGCCATGTCCATTTTGCCACAAGGGAGAAATGCAATCAATCCCCCCAGTTGAATGAATTCTGAAAGAGCCGTTTAATTTATCTCTAAATGCTCTGGATCTTAACTCTCCTTCAACACACCTCCCCTGGCTTCTGCCATTGACAGTATTTGCCCAGTCTAGACAGTGCCATTCGTCTCCTCACCCCTGACTTTGAAAGCCAGCCAACTCCTCTTCCCACTACAGCTGGCTGTGGCCTGGAGGCCAGTGGGGTCAAGGGAACAGGGTGGCACTGAGTGCAGGGGTGAGAGGGCAAAGCACTCCGTCTAATGGGGACTGAGCCAAGCCCAGCAGAGTGGAGATAGGACAGCCCATCTCTCCCAGTGCCATGCTGGACTGCAGAGGCCTGATAAGACGAGGGAACCACCCGCCCAAATATGTGTCCTCTTCCAAATATAGATTTCTCCCTGCACTGCTCTCCCCACCGTCAGTTGTCACAGGGATGCTTTCCTCCAAGGGCAGCTGGCTGCCTTTCCCCCCTGGGAGATGGAACGTGATCCAGGTCATGACCAGCTCTTTGGGGTGACAGGTGGAGTGGCTGGGGTCTGTGCTGGAAGTGCTAGAGTTCCCACCTCTCTTACTCCCCTGCTTCTCAGCACTGGCCAGTCCTGTGCTTCCAGAAAACAGACTTTTCTGATGGATTCTCTAGTCAACACTGACTCTTCTGCCGAGAGCTCATACCTGGAGAACCGCTGGAATTCTGCTTCACTAGTAGTGTCAGCTCCCAAGGCACGGTTTCTTGGCAGAAACCGTTCCTTGGGTTGGAAGTTTGAGGAGCCAGTGTTATTATTGGAACCAGAGCTGGAGTAAGAAGCAGGTCAACAGCTGTTAGCCAGGGCTGTAGTCTGTAAGGGACTTGAAAACCTTTCTGGTAAAGGTGGAAAGGATGAAAAACATCGACTTCCTATAATTCCTTGTAGGAAGTCTACTATCTGTGGTTGAAAGAATACTATGGCCAGGCACAATGACTCATGCCTATTATACCAGCACTTTGGGGGGCCAAAGGGGGTGGATCACTTGAGGCCAGGATTTCTACCAGCCTGCTCAACATAGTGAGACCCTGTCTCTATTTAAAAAAAAAAAAAAAAAAAGCTCTGATGAAACACTTTCAGGTGAAGGAAGGCAGGCATTGAGTGAGACCTCTTAGCATCCATTGGTTGCCAGAGATGGCAATCTGGTTAACAGCAGGGCCTTTCCGGGTGTGGTTGTGTGTTGGAAGCGTGTTGCCACTCCTACCCCACCCTGTCCTCCACCCTCTCTATGTGCTCGACTCCTCTCTAGGGAAAAAAGTGACAGATACTGAGAGGGGATCAGCAGGCTGAGGCACCAAGTTGGTAGCTCACATAGAAGGACCAGGTCTCGGCTGCCCTGGCTGGAGCAGTGCATGTGTGGGGCAGGCCACCCTCCGAGCAGGGGCTTTATGGGATGGATCAGAGACACCACTGACTGTGATAGAGGGAGACTCTGGGGGGACCAAGCTATAAACTAGCTTTCATGCCAGCTACCCGCCTTCTCAGACCTGCATGCTGGCTTTAGGGCCAGCAATTCAACTTGAATTTTCCCTGTCCTCTTAGAGGGGGTTTATCCCTCACTCGCAAGGCCCCGGGACACTTGACGTTGAGAAGCAAAGCAGAGGGAGTCCACATCCTACCAGGAGGGTAGTCGGGAGTCAGTGCCAGTCCATGTTGTGTACGCAGATGTAAAAACTTTTGCCTGGTGGCCCACTGCCCTGGTGACAGCTGTGTCAGTATGCTGCAGAGGCCCTGGGAGAGATCATCGTAGGGGAGAAAGTACAAAAGTGATCAATTCCACCAGCACGTCTGGGGCACCTGCAATCTAAGGCAGGGCTCTGGAGGCTTTTTACCTGGACTGTCAGCCAGGACACCCCCATGGGGTGGGCACCGTTACCACCTACCCTGCCTTAGGAGGGAGGAACCACCGGCACGGGAGGCTAAAGATCTTGCTCAAACTGGTGGTGAGTAAGTGGGGTCAGGACTCAAAGGCTGGTGTCTCTGACTCCTGAGCCTTTTGAGCCACTGTCTCTCTCCTGAGAAAAGTCGCCTCTTCAGAGCTTTCGACCCCCAGTCCATGGCTCTTCTGTGCCTCTGCTGTGCTCCGCCCCCTCCCTGGGGATGGACGGAGCCTGGGCCCTCTTGCCCTGGGAAGCTGGTAGGGCAGCTCCTGTGATCCCTGCAGCAAGACAGGCTTTTCCAGAACAAATCAGGTGCCTGAAAATCAGACAGCCTGTGTCCCGCAAGAAGGCGGATCCCCACCTGGTGGGGAGGCGCTGGGCTGTGATGGAGGCTGATCGGGAAGAGCTGTGGAGCTGGAAGTTTTGCCAAGGACCAGCCTGACTGTTTTCCCTGAGCTCAATGTTCTTGGCTGTAGCATAGGGATGAGCCCCTCTTCCTCTTGGAGCTGAGGCTGGGATGAAGGGAGTGTGAGTCGGTGCCTGGTGCTGGAGGGTCCCACAGCAGGCATCCAGATGCTATTACTGGAGGGCACGAGAGGCCCCTCCTGGGACTCGCCCTCTGTCCCCGGTCGCCCTGCACCACCTCTCTCCCTGTCTCCTTCCTCTTCCACTTTGATTCTTTCTCTCCCGCTTCCTTTTATGTGGATGGAGGCCTCAGAGTGGCCAGAGAGATGTGGCTGAGCCTGGTCCTCCCTTGGGGAGGAGCCACTAGGCACACCTGCCCGTGGCCTGGAACACTTCCAACCGGAAAGGTGAACCAAGCCAGGCCCTGAGTCAGGAGCCTGTGTCTCATGGCAGCCACACCCCACGCCTCTGGCCCCTGCCCACCGCTCACTCCCAGGCACCTGCTTGCTGCTGTCCCTCCTCACCACGACCTCTGCCCACTCTAGCTGTGGCCTGGGAGGGGCCTGCAGTGAGGGAAAAACTGTTGACAGCAGAGACCATGCCACAGTCACTTTTCACTGGAGGGGAAACTGCAGACCACCTTTCTCCTCCTCCTGCCCTCTCCCCCAGCCCCGAGGGGAAGAGGCATGGGGAGGGGGCTGAGGGATTACCACGCTTGACTGGCTGGCTTTCCATGCGCAGGATATTGAGGCCACCTAATTGACAGATAGTAAACACGGATAAAGACTTTGGGACAGAGAAGCAGGGGGTCGTCAGGACAAGGCAGGCTGAGGTATTGGGAGGGTGGGGGGCTGAGAGTCTTGGGAGAAGACCAGATGGCTCCCTGCCATGTCCCCATCTGGGCCTCTGCTAACTTTAAGCCAAGTGAGCAGGGCCTGGTGGACAAAGGCCAATGTGCCCATGAAGGGTCCATGGGAGGTGTGGCCTGGGCGAGAGGAGAAGCCAGGGTTCGCCCTTCTGTGTGAGGCCTGGCAGCTTGAGAGTCTGGGCCTGGCGTCCCCTCCCCCAGGCACCAGGTGAGGAATCCAAGCTCCCAACTTGTTCAGAGGATCACGTACCATCTCCACGCCACCTCTCAGCTCACCTGTGAGGGAGGCCCTGGGACGGCTCCATTCAGTGTGAACATGAAGTTTTCCTGCAAGGAGCTGGGCTCTGGTGGCAGAGCTCAGGGAGAGGCTCAAGGCTGCTTGGGAGAGCCTGGTCATGGCCACCAGCCCTGTGAACACCGTCCACCCACTTCCAGCATGGCCCCAAACCCAGAGGATGCAGGCTCCCAGCACGGGATGGGGTTCTGCCCGGGGAAGGAGGAAGGAAGCTGCCTGCCCTCTGCCTGGGCCCCTGTACCACCCTCACCCCAGCATGGTCTGGCTGCCATGATCTCCGTTCAACCTACATCTGTTTCCAAGGCTTCTTACTGTGCCCAGCACCCTGAGGAAGAGAGAGGATCAGAGACATCCCACCCTCCGTCGGACAAATTCTCTTACTTCCACATTTCTGCCTTGGCTCCTTAGAGAACTCTTACAGGCCTCAGCTGGACCCCCCCCCCCGACCCACCTGAGCTCCAACCTGCGAATCACACCAAGGCTGCTCACCATGAAAAAGAACTGACTTCGCCTGCTCTCCCTCCCTGTCCAAATCCATGCCAGGCTTTCCTTTGCAGCTAAGTCCTTCCCAGAGAGACACCAAGATAAAAGCAGACAGAGCTGGATTCAAACTTCATCCCAGCTCTTTACGAATTTGGGCAAGTTCCTTACTTTCTTTGAGCCTCAGTTTCTTGATCTGTAACTGGGAAAATGGGTGCTTCCTTGCCAACGTGTTGCAAGGATTTAATAAGGTGTCACTTGGAGAGCACCCTGCCCTCTCTCCCTGGCAGGTACACAGAGAACTTGATAGACCATAACTCACAGGCCACGTGGCCACCATTGCCCATGGACGATACCTCCGAAACCTCTCTCCCGTTCAGCTCCTCTTCCCCATTGTCACAGCCCGAGTCTAAGCCCCCAGTTCCCTGCCTGAATTCATTTAAAACAATGAATTCCTTCACCCCCTTACTGGTCTTATTGCTCCCTGTCTCACCGTTCAGTCCAGCCTCCTGCTGCAGAAGAGCGAGCTCTTTAAAATGCAAATCACCGTCTGTCACTCACCACCTAGTTGCCTATGACTTGCGAGAGATGAGATCAAACTTCCTTTGCCCGGAGAGGGTCCATTGGCAACCTGGCCCCATCTGCCTCCTGGCTTGTTGCTCCCCTCCCACCAGTCACCTCCCTCTGCCACTTGCATTCACACTAGAGGCCATCGCACCTGTTCTTTTCCCGGCTTGACGGGTCCTTACCCAGCTCACCTGAGAGCCAACTTCTCATCTTCTGGGGTGGAAGGAGACCTGCGATGTGGCAGGCACTGTGCTAAGCATTTTATTTGCATTATTTCATGAGACAGATACTATTATCCCCGTTTCGTGGGTAATAAAACCAAGTCTCAAGTGGTTAAACACAATTCAAACCTTGCTCAATTATCCTAAATCCATACCTCCCTGGTATGGCTATTTCCCAGCTCAAATGCCTCCTCCTTCATCAAACCTTCCCCCATTACGAGTGTGGAGGCGGGATCTGGCTTGGAGTTTTAGGGGACAGAGTACGTCAATGAATTGCAGAAATGGAAAAAGTTTGTTTGGGGTTAAGTGCGTGATGAGTCCAACGAACAGATTCAGCAGTTCCCATATTCAAGGAACATGTCTGGGTGCTGGACAGAAGGAAAAATTAATTGGTGGGCAATAACATGTTGGCAAAGATGTGGAGAAATTAGAGTCTTCATACATTGCTAATGGGAATGTAAAATGGTACAACCGTATTTGAAAAACAGTTTGGCAGTTCCTCAAAAAGTTAAACATAGAGTTACCAATTCTACTACTCAGTATATACCCAAGAGAAATGAAAACATATGTCTATGTAAAAATTTTCACACAAATGTGCATAGCAGCATTATTCATCATAGCCAAAGCCTGGAAATAAATGTCCGTCAAATGATGAATGAATAAACAAAATGTGGCGTCTGCATGCAAGGAATATGATTCAGCCATATAATGGAATGAAGTACTGACACACACTGCAACATGGTGAACCGTGAAAACACTGTGCTAAGTCAGAGAGATGTGCTAAGTGAAATGATACGCCTATTGTATCGCTATATGTGAATGTCTTGCGATGTCAAGAATAGCAAAAAATCAGCCAGGTGTGGTGGCTCATGCCTGTAATCCCAGCACTTTGGGAGACTGAGGCAGGTGGATCACTTGAGGTCAGGTGTTCGAGACCAGCTTGGCCAACATGGTGAGACCCTGTCTCCACTAAGAATACAAAAAATTAGCCAGACGTGGTGGCTCGTGCCTGTAATCTCAGCTACTCCAGAGGCTGAGGCGGGAGAATCACTTGAACCCAGAAGGCAGAGGTTGCAGTAAGCCGAGATTGAGCCACCGCACTCCAGCCTGGGAGACACAGCAAGACTCCATCTCAAAAAAAAAAAAAAAAAAAAAAAAAAAATAGTAAAAATCCGTAAACACAGAAAGAAGCTGAAGGGTTCCCATGGCCTCAGGGTGTGGGGTAAATACAGTGACACAAATGGCTGTGGGGTTCCTTTTGGGTGTGATGAAAATGTTCTAAAATCAGATAATGGTAACAGTTTCAGAGCTCTGAATATAATAAAAACCACTGAATTGTATACCCTGAAAGGGTGATTTATATCCTGACAAAGCTGTTTTTTAAAAACTTGGGCCAGGAATTCAGGATCAGCCTGGGCAACATAGTAAGACTTCCTTTCTACAATTTTTTTTTTTTTAATTAGCCAGGTGTGGTGATATATGGCTGTAGCCCCAGCTATTCAGGGGACTGAAGTGGGAGAATCACTTGAACCCAGGAGGTCAAGGCTGCAGTGAGCTGTGTTTGCATCACTGCACTCCACAGAGTGAGACCCTGTCACAAAAACTGGCTATAACCTAAATGTCCAACAATAGGGGCTTCTTGAGAAAACTGTGATTCAGTTGATAGACAACTCTGCAGTGATTTTCAATGATACAAAATGTTGACATGAAAATGTTTTAAGATTCTTTCTCGACAAGATGGCCACACCGGCGGTATCAGCAAGTGCTCCTCCTGCCAACACCAGCCCCGGCCCCGGCCCCAGCGGTGGTCCCAGTCTCGGCCCCAACCTCAGTCCCAGCCCCAGCGCCAACGCCAGCACCAGCTGCGGCTTCGCCTTCCACTGGAACTCCAGCCTCATCCTCAGACCCTGTGGCTCCTGGCCAGACCTCGGCCTCAGCGCAAGCTCCGGGGCAGACCCCAGCGCTCGCTCTGCCTGGTCCCGCTCTCCCAGGGCCCTTCCCCAGCGGCCGCGTGGTCAGGCTGCACCCAGTCGTTTTGGCCTACATGGACAGCTACGAGCGACGCAATGAGGGTGCTGCCCGAGTTATCCGGACCCTGCTGGGAACGGTCGACACTCAGCGGAGGTCACCAATTGCTTTTCAGTGCCGCACAATGAGTCAGAAGTTGAAGTGGCTGTTGACGTGGAATTTGCTAAGAACATGTATGAACTGCATAAAAAAGTGTCTCCAAATGAGCTCATCCTGGGCTGGTACGCTACAGGCCATGACATCACAGAGCACTCTGTGCCGATCCATGAGTACTACAGCCGGGAGGCCCCCAACCCCATCCACCTCACCGTGGACACAAGTCTCCAGACCGCCGCATGAGCATCAAAGCCTATGTCAGCACTTTAATGGGTGTCCCCAGGAGGACCACGGGAGTGTTCACACCTCTGACAGTGAAATATGCATACTATGACACTGAACGAATTGGAGTTGACCTGATCATGAAGACCTGCTTTAGCCCCAACCGAGTGATTGGACTCTGAGGTGACTTGCAGCAAGTTGGAGGGGCATCAGCTCGCATCCAGGATGCCCTGAGCACGGTATTGCAATACGCAGAGGATGTACTGTCTGGAAAGGTGTCAGCTGACAATACTGTGGGCCGATTCCTGATGAGCCTGGTTAACCAAGTACCCAAAATAATTCCTGATAACTTTGAGACCATGCTCAACAGCAACATCAATGACCTGCTGATGGTGACCTACCTGGCCAACCTCACACAGTCACAGATTGCCCTCAATGAGAAACTTGTAAACCTGTGAATGGGCCCCGGGCAATATACCTGCCAGTCTGGGTCTCAACCCCAGGACACAGAAGTGAAGGCGAAATGGGTTTTTTGTGGTCTTGAGTCACACTGAGGCAGTCAACTGCCTGTGACTCTAATAAACATAGCCTACCTTTTGTAAAAAAAAGAAAAGAAAAGAAAATGTTTTAAGATTATTGAGTAGTTAAAAAAAAAGGAATAATAGACTCACAATATAGTATTGGATTCCATTCTGGTGTGTGTGTGTGGTGTGTGTGTGTCTTCATAACAAAATGGAAAGATCACCAAAATGTTACAGATCCCAGCTGGGCATCAGGGATACATTTTATCCTTTCTGCAGGCGAGGTGGGGGAAGCCATCGGAATTTTCTAGTATTTCCACATAGTAAACACCTATTAGTTGTGAAATTTCTAAAAAGAGTAGTTA